GACGCACGGCCAAACCCGAATGTAAATATGCAACATAGTAATATCTTGTGCTAACTAGCGCTACCTACCACTGTCACTAGAACTAACATTAGACCTAGAACCAGAAACATTCGGGTTTAGCAGCACATCTCTCAAGAGGACTAAACCCGAATGATTCTAGTTCTAGGTCTTGTGTTAGTTCTAGTGCAAAACTATAACTAACACTAGATCGAAAACTAGAAACATTCGGATTTAGCCCCACGTCTCTCAAGACGGCTAAACCCGAATGATTCTAGTTCTTGTGCTGGTGTTAGTTCTAGTGATAGTGCTAGTGTAAAACTAGAACTAATACTAGACTTAGAACTAGAAAGTATCAGCTAATCCAACCCGGAATTTACAACCCCCCTCTACTCCATGACCAATCCGACATTTGAGAAATTCGCAGTGGTTTAAATGTTAATTAATCTAACTCAAAGTGGAATTTCTACACAAAATTCTCAAATAAATCAGTAAATTAGGTAGATCCGAATGTAACGTTTAAAGAGGAGCGCCCTACCTTGCTCTAAAAAGATATGCTGCATCTGGGTGACAATCAATCGAGTGTATCACTCAACAGAAGAATAGATTCAGTTTTTGGCAGCAGTAAAAAACTTCTGAAAGTGTTCTGAAAGCATTAAATAGTCTTTGCCAACAATATCTAACTTTCTCCAAGCAATTAGCAGTTTTTCCAACAATATTTAGCATTCTGAAAGTAGTTAATAGTCTTTTGGAAACAGTATCCTGTCTTTCCAAGCAGATAATAGATTCCCCAGCAGTATTTAGTCTTCTCCAAACAGGTCGTAATCTTTTCTAGTTATATATAGCGCTCTGAAAGCAGTAAATAGTCTTATGGAAGCAGTGTCTTGTCTTTCCAATCAGTTTGTAGTTGTTTGTTAGCACTATCTAGTTTTTTTCCAAGCAAATTGTAATCTTTTCCATCAGCATTTCTAGCATTTTGGAAGCAGTAGGTATCTTTTTTGGAGAGCGTATCTTCATTCCAAGTAGTTGTTAGTCTTTTCCAGTAGTATTTAGCATTCTGGCAGCATTGGGTAGCTTTTTGGGAAACATATCTCTTCTTTCCAAGCGGTTATTAGTCTTAGTTATTAGTTTCGATGTGACGTCACAAGCAATGTTAACCATGCATTTTCCTATTAAACCTGTCAACACCTAACCTACAAATTGTTTATTTTATAGCCACGCACAAAATCAATCTGATAAACTTAAAAGTAAAGTTGTCATCACTAAACTAGATGAGATTACAACGAATATTTACGGATGAAACACCCTTGTTTTTCTTAGGTTTTCGATGCATAACGACTGACTACCTGTACTTAGATAGACTGTATGTCGATATACTCTGTATTAATAGTAGAACTAACACTAGACTAATACTAGAAACATTCTGACTTAGTCGCACGTCTCGCAAGACGGCTAAACTCGAAACTTTCTAGTTCTAGGTCTAGTGTTAGTTCTAGTTTTAGTGCAATAAAAATATGCAACATAGTAACATCTTATGCAATATAATAATATCTTACATAATAATCTTCATCTCTGCTCTACACTGCGCATTATACACGTATATGATTAAAAGTCACTAAGTCCAACCAATTGGAAAACCACCTCCCCACATCTCACAAATTCCACAATATATCCTTTGACTTATTTCTTTCTCTCTTCAGCCATCAATTATCCACTCCTGAATGAAGGCCTCTTTCATATATTTCCATGTTTTTCTGTTCTGGGCCACTTCAAGTCATCTGTTCCTCGCAATTCTCTTTATGCTGCGGTTTGTTATTCTTGGCTGCCAGTATGTCACCCTCGCTGTCTATTTAGCGTGATCTTGTCTTAGCCACTTTAATTCTGCGACTATTTTCTTATAATATCCTCATTTCTGATTCTATCTCTTAAGATGATATCAGGATTAACTCCCTCTTGTGCTCTCTGCATGACCTTCAACTGATTTGCCCATCATCGCCATGTTTCCAGTCCATAGGTCGCCACAGGTTTATTGGTATGTTTCCGTTTCTCAATATGTGTTTTAATTTACCAAAGGTTGCCTAGGTCACTTGTATTCTCCACTTTATCTCACCTGTCTAATTTCGTTTGTTCATCTTGATGGCATGTATGTAAATACATTCCTCTACACTTTCTACCAATTCGTTATCTTTGGTGATATTATCGCCAGTGTTCCTTTAGCCCCACTCCTCTATATAGTTGCTGATCATTATAACTTATGCTTTGGTTTCTCATGATAGCGACTTGAAGATAAATATACAAAATATACAAATACCAAGTTGAAGAGTTTTGAAGAAATAGTTTCTTTCTTAACTTGAAATTTATTGATTACTAAATCTTCGTTTATTTTGACTTGAAGAATAGCGTTTGCGTTTCAATATTTAGTTATCGCGTCTCTTGAAGAATAAGATGGCTTCTACATTATGTCATGTCTGGAATCTTACCATTGTTAAGGTACTTGTTAAAAAGTATGCGTAGTACCTCTTCTACCATTATTCCTCCTTTTTTTTAGTCCCTGTTCAGTTATGTGCGGTATATCGTTTGATCGAAAGTTGCAGATGTGCGTTGCTTTGATATTATAATATCCCAGTAACTGTTAGAATATGGGAGTGGTTTTCACCCTTGCCAAATCTAATAAGTTAGCCTCATGTCTCTCAAGATAGCTAAACCCGAACGATTCTATTTCTAGGTCTTGTGTTAGCTCTACTGATAGTGTAAAACTAGAACTAACACTAGACCTAGAACTAGAATCATCCGGGTTTAGCCGTGCGTCTGAAGACGCACGGCTAAACCCGATACTTTCTAGTTCTAGGTCTAGTGTTAGTTCTAGCTTTAGTGCAATAAAAATATGCAAATCTTAATAATAATCTTTTTTAATAATATATAGCGCTCTGAAAGCAGTAAGTAGTCCTATGGAAGCAGTATCTCGTCTTTCCAATCTGTTCGTAGTTGTTTGTTAGCACTATCTAGTTTTTTCCAAGTAGATTGTAATCTTTTCCACCAGCATTTTGAAAGCAGTAGGTACCTTTTTTGGAGAGCGTATCTTCTTTCCAAGTAGTTATTAGTCTTTTCCAGTAGTATTTAGCATTCTGGCAGCATTAGGTAGCGTTTTGGGAAGCATATTTCTTCTTTCCAAGCAGTTATTAGTCTTTTCCAGCAGTATCTAACATTTTGGAAGCAGTAGGTACCTTTTTGGAAAGCATATCTCTTTTCCAAACAATTATTAAAGTTATAAGGATAATTTCGCAGGGAAATAACACACTCCTCATGGGCCGGTTGTACCATCTCCCGATAAATTTATCCGGTAGATAAATTGGCGCACTTAGGTCCATTACTACCATCTTTTAGTTAACTTTATCTTATAGATAAACCCATCTACTAGCCAATCAGAGCGCGTAAAATAGCCATAACCGTGGTATTAATTCCTTAGATAGCTTAACCAGAAGATGGTAGTAACGAGCCTTAGCCAGTGAGAGCGCAAAACCGCTGTAATCATGGTAATTATCCCTTAGATAGTTTATCGGGAGGTGGTACAACCGGCCCTTACTCAAACATGTTTAATCGACATTTCGGGCTATTATAAGCCCATCATCAGGATTTTAATATAAATCTAAAAGAACAGTTACAATTTTAAGCAACAAACAATGACAATTTAGAAATAATACATTTAAAATTTTTTTTTCTGTATGTAGAAATGTTTTATTTTTAAATGCTTAAAATTGTAATTGTTCTTTTAGATTTATATTAAAATCTTGGTGATGGGCTTATAATAGCCCGAAAGGTCGATTAAACATGTTTGAGTAAACATAATTAATCCATGAGGAGTGTGTTATTTGCCTGCGAAATTTTTCTTATAATAAAAACAAAGCCTCTTAATTAAAATCATATACAATTATTAAAGTCTTTGAAAGCAATAAGTAGTCTTGGAAGCAGTATTCCGCCTGTCCAAGTAGGTCAAAACTAGTGCTGGGCAAAGTATCGATACTTGTCGATGGTATCGATACTCGATATCCGCAAAGTATCGGTATCGAAGTATTGAAAGTATCGAAGTTTCGAAAGTATCGAAGTATCGCAAGTATCAAGTATCGATAGTATCGAAAATTTTTTTTATATACAGGAAATTTCGTGGATTCTACATGAAACAATATTAAGATAAATGCATGCAAAGGTGTGTCCTATATACTTCAAGCGAGCATTCAATATATGGTTGTTCCTCATTATTTCAAAAACCGTTAGGATTAAAAACACGAAATTTTACGTATCTACTTATTTTTACGCGACGAGTACGATAATCGAGAAAAATTATCGATACCTTATTTGAGGTATCGCCCAGCCCTAGGCAAAACCTTTAAAAGCAGTGTTTAGTGTTCTGAAAGCAATAGATATTATTTTGAAAACAATATCTAGAAAACTGTATCTCTGAAAACAGTGGACTAATAATGTTTTCAAAATAATACCTAATGCTTCCAGAATGCTAAACACTGCATTTCTGCAGTATCTAGCATTTTAGAAGCAGGAATTAACTTTTTGAAATAGTATTTCCTCTTTCCAAGTAGTTTTTAGTCCTTTGCTAGCAGTATTTAATCAATTAATTCATGAACCAATAAGTTAAAGAGGGGGTTAGGGCATCAGATATAGATTTTAGGTTATCTTGAGTTTGTAGATGGTAAACAATGACATTTTAGTCGTTGTGCATCGAAAACCTAAGAAACAATCGTATTTCACCCGAAAATATGCGTTTTAACCAAATGTGCTGCGAAAATATATAAATACATGATTAGCTGGGTCGATGACGTCACAAAAAGTGACGTCACGTTGAAACTTTAAAGTGATTTTTCTTTAAATTTTACACTTTTCCGCACGTTTTTTTTATTTGTAACTGCTTACTTGAGAGATTTCCCGTCGATTAAAAAAAATTGTCGATTTTTAAGCAACATGATGATTCTTGAATTATACATTATTCCTACCTAAATTGTGTAGGATAAAATGGTTCTGTTGTTGGTACATTTTGCAATAATGAAACAGATTCTTCTTGGCTCATTAAATTTTCCTTTATGGGTTGAGTAATTGGAGGTACAACGATGGGGTGAGTAACAAAACTGGGTAAAGCAGCTGGTGGTGGTACATTAGATAATAAATTTCCTGTAGGGATTGTTGTAACAGATACTCCGGGGGAAGGTAATAAGGAAATTGACGAAGACATACTGCTAGTACTTTCTAAAACATCAAATAACACAAAAATAAATGTTGTTAGTATTATTTTTTTGACATTTGATAAACAACTTTATAAAAGTACCTGTCTTGTCGACCATTGAATCGTCTCCAATTTTCTTATCGATAATCTCAAAAGTGTTCTCCCCGTTTGAGTCGTCTTGCATTTTATCCTATATTTATAATTCGTTTAGAAAAAAATGTAAACAGTAAACACTAAAAATTTTGTAATCGTGGCCGAAGTTATTTTAGGGATTTTAACTTTTATTATTGACGTATCAAATATATACGTTAAATTAATTCTATTATGATTTAAAATTATTCTCATCATTAAATAATTTATTAATATACTTTATTGAATACTTTTAAATCAAATTTATTAATTAAATTTTAAATTAAATTTGTAAAAATTAAGAATTTTCTTTTCGTCACTCAATTAAGTTGGCAACGTGAGTGTCAAATTGATTAAACTTAAATTAATCTTATTTAATTTTCGATAATTTTTAAATAATTCTAATTAATTTAAACATTATTATTTCAAAAAATCTTTTTGTTAGAAAAAAATAATTTTTTTTTGATTTAAAAATTATTTCTCTAACCTAAAAAAAAAATTATATAGGTTAAGTCAACTGTCAAAATTTAATTAGTAACAATTTTGTTCTTAACTTTTATCAGGAGTATTAATTTCCGCCCCTTTATTAAAAATTCGAATAGAATTCGCGATCAAAATCAGGAAACGTTAAAATACCAACGATAATAATAATTCATTCTAATGCGAATCTATTATTGATTAAATCCCACCAACGCGTCCGGCACAGTTTTCAAAATACAGTATCGGACAGTTACGTCAAACGTTGTCGGTTTATTGTGCGTTTGGGTTTATTTAAGCGGCGAAAAATGGCCGATCCGGTGGAGCCTCCCCCTTTGTTCGAGAATGTGAATATTAACAATGAAGAGGAAGAGGATGACGTCTTTGCGTCCGCTATGCAGGTATAACTCTTTCACACAAACACGCCACATTACCGGTTTTTTGCCATTTCACCTAACCTCCGAACGAAACCACGAACGATAACCTTCCTAAATTTAAATCGTTAACTTATCATTATTTGTTTAAATATTTATCATCGTTTCATTGGTAGGATCATCCTCCTGTATTATCCTTAGAAGAAGAGGACGTTCAAGATGTTATTAATGGAGAAGAAATTCGTAAAATGAAAATGTCCGAAACGAGATCTGAAATGGAAACTGTGCCAATTAGTGATGATGTTATTATAGATACACCAACAATGGAAGAAGTGGGTATTAATTTTGTTTTAATTATAAACAAATAATTGTTGTTTGAGTTCAGGTTGAAGCTGTAAATATGATGATTGATGGTGAACAATTTATTAATATTACAATTACGGAGCCTCAAAAGATCGGGGAAGGAATGGGGTCTTATCTTGCTTATCGTGTGTGCACCACTACGAATATGAGGGTGTTTAAGAAGAAAAATTTTGAAGTTTTGAGGCGTTTTAGTGACTTTTTAGGGTTGCACGATAAATTAACTGAGAAATATCTTAAAGTTGGACGAATTATTCCTCCGGCTCCGGAAAAAAGTGTTATTGGTGAGTAGTTTTAATCTATTAGTCATAAATAGTACAATATATTCTGAGTCATTTATGTATGTTTAATTTAAACTTTGATAAACACATTTTAGGAATTCATTAAAATTCCTACTTTTATAAATAGACATTTCTATACTTAATTTATTTTATACACTTTTAAAAAAATTTCTATTTATCAAGGGAATTTTTTAATAACAATAATAAATAAAAAGATAATAATTGAATATCTGAACATAACCTCAAAAAAATTATTTTATTTTGACAGTGTCAATGAAATTTCCATGGCAACAGAAGGTTAGCCAATATTAAAATAATTAAACAATTACTTCACAAAATTGAATATCTTTAGGATTCAGATCTAATATATTAAAATAATTATAATTGTTTAAAATAAAAAAAGAAAGAAATTCAATAGCAATAGTAAAAGAAACAAAAAAAAATTAACATTTCTTCTCATCAAGAATAACTGTTTTAGAAAATGATGGTTAAAAAAATGAAAGGATAGTAGGTTGCAATGCTTGTTGCATATCCTTCTGAAGCTCTTTGTAAGGAACAAGAAGAGAATTGAGGCCATTTTTAAATTTTGTGCTTTGTACAGTTAATGGATGTTCTACTATCTCTTCAGCAAGATTATTTGCTTCTTGTATAAATAAATTAAGTTCCTTCAATGTTAATTTGTTACATGGGGAATTAATATCTTCTTCATCCGTTTCTGATTCATTTTCTATTAGTAGCACTTCTAAGTCTGCACTGGACAACTCTTCCTGTTGGTCATTGACGAGATATTCGATATCAACTGCTACAATGGTTTGAAAATCATCTCCTGGTAGCAACTATGCAGAGATGACAGCTTTGTCTATTGTCTCATCAACTTCACTTACATTTTGGGCAGGTTCATTTGATTGAATTCAGTGTTAACCCTCTATTGCATTGCATTGCAGAAAAAATTTGCATTTTTTGTGATAAATGTGCATAGAAATAAGACACCTATGAGTTTTTTTTTTTCAAAATTTGTATTTGTAGAGAAAAAAAAATTTGTTCCCAAATAGGCACATTGTGGGCTCAAAGTACATTTTTTTACATGGTGTGAAATGACTTGAAGCAATTATTTAGTTTATTTAAACACAAATGTATTCCACATTTTTCGCACATTTTTCTGGATTTACCCTTGCAGTTAGGTTTTTTGCATCTTTCTCGGTTTTCTGTCTGTAAAGGCCAATGTCCAATATTATCCAATATAATGTTTCTTGTTGGGCGTGGTTCCAAACATCTTCTTTTGGGTGTGAATTGAATGGGCGAGTCGATGGGCGTATTGGCGCCACTACTGTTAGGTCGGCCTTTCTTTTTGCGTTTATTTTTCCCACTAGACATAGATCTTGTGCTAGTATTGTTTTGAATTCCAATAGAGAAACCTTCTCATTCTTGTTTAGTTGTTTATTGATTCTTCTTGAAAGTAACCATGAATTTACTACCACAACGTCAAGCATGTGGCAAAATATGCGCATATACCATTTGCGGCTCTTCAATTTTATGGAATACAATCCTAAGAGAGAATCCTGTAAATCTACTCCTCCCATGTGCATGTTGTAGATTGAAACAATGTCGGGACGATCAATTTCTTTCTTGCAGTTCTCCGACTTGAAAAAACGCTGTACTTTGGTAAGAGGAAATGTACCAGAGAATGTAGAAACTAATGTAACTAATCGATTATCATACCACTGTACGACATGAACATCTACTCCAGCAACATTTGCAGTGTACTCAATGTGTGAGCCTCGTCCCTTTTTTTTCATTTCTTTTTCACTAACCATTTGTAGGCCCTTCGGCCGATTAGATCTTATTGTTGCCACACTTTGTATGCTTAATTTTCCCAGATAGGATAACAAATTTATTCCAGAAAAATAACTGTCATAGTAAACTTTTGATTTTTGTCTCTCGGAATTGGTCTACATAAACGGACGATGATATTGCTGGCAGCTCCAAGATTTGGTTCCCCTGGCAATAGATTTATGTCAGCTTTACTATTGCAAAGCTGAAAATTTGCACTGAACCCACTAACTCCTGATAAAACATACATTTTGTAACCACATTTGTGTGACTTTTTGGGATTATACGTCTTTAAAGATGTTCTTCCCTTGAATGGAATAATTTGTTCATCACAGGATAAATTTTCCTCAAAAGGGATTTTTTGACAGGATTTCTTTATTTGATTCAATACTGGCATAATTTTATCTGTGCTTCCAGTGGCTAAGGTATTATCTGAGAAATGCAGAAAACGTTTCAGCTCCTCAAATCTATTGAGAGGCATGATGTCTGCTATTTGTGGTGTTCTAGTATTGGCCGACCAGTACCTACGCGTTGAGTGCTGCGTTATCAAGGACATCCATATAACTATCCCCAAAAACTGCACAATTTCTTTAGCATCAGTTCTCAAAGTCTTCTCAAGTCTTCTTTGCGTGCTGTACAAATATGTTTGCTCAACCACCGTAGATATAAAATCATCAGACATAAAGAATTTGAATAGACTATATGGACTTTGTAACTCTAAAATATATTCTGGAAGATCGCATTCTCCCAAAAACTTATTATCCTGTGGATTTCTATTAGTTTTTGAAGATTTCCAAGTAACATTTTGAACATTTGAAAAGAAAAATCTCGTATTTGGGGGAAGACCAAATAACTGCGTCAAAGGTATGTCGTCTGGGTCCTCAGTATCCTGGGATTCAATCTCGGCATCATCTAACTCGTGAGGAACCTGTACCTCCACTGCAGAGAAAAATATGCATATGAACATCAAAACCAAACTATTTTTACTGGCATAAAATTTACCTTCATCATCATCTGATAGCTCAGAATCCTCGCTATCTGAAGGAATGTCTCGAACTGCGTCAACTTGAACTTTTTTTCTTCGATAAAAAGCGCTTGGTCTAATTGTTGGAAAATCGCCCGGAAAATCCATTGTGGATCGTCTGTGTGTAGAAATAAGAAATAATTACACACTTTAACTTTTTGAGCATAATGTTCCCAAATGGGAACAAACAAGTTATGACCTGCTGCAGAAAAAGGAACGAACGAAATATATCGAATTATGCATTATTCTACTCCTAACACTTGAAAATAAGTATAAAAAATACATACTTACCAGAAAATTACCCTACAAACAAGATTTGATCTTCTAAAATCAATGAAAATGATCCGGCGGCCATTGATTCGACGCGAATTTTCTAAAAATGCAACACACCAACACAAACACCACCTCTCGGACAAAAAACTTACGAATGGTGGAAAATTATACTAGATATTCATAATTTATCTATTAGTTTCGCCGCTCAATACAACATAGAGCCACGTTATTGACTTAGAATGTTGTGTTCCCGAAAGGGAACATTATGTAATAGAGGGTTAATTATAGATAGAACATTTTCAAGTTCGACCAGGCATCCAATTCCAGCGGATGGAAGTCGATATATTAATCCAAATGCATAACTTTCATAACAATGCGTAAAACACAACCATAACTGCTCAAGGTCCAAGTCTAATGACTTTACTAATTAACATGAGAAATATCAATTATGATTAAATAGAAGGAAAACAAAGGGGAAAGTCAGCATATGTTCAGTTTTTTGGTTATTAAAAAATTATTGAGTATTGTTGTACTTTTAATTGTCCATTAAATAACAGGAAAATGTAACATTGGATGATGTATTTGTGTTTAAAGTGAAGGAAGTTTGTGAGGTATCATACTCTCCTAGTAGAGCTTCTTAAAAACATGGAACGTCATTAACGCCACCAGAGTATTAACGTTTTAAAGAAAAAATTGGAAGTTAAATATAAAAAAAAATACTTTGTTATACTTGATTATCATCATCATTAATGGCCCAACAACTCTGTGGATGTTGGTCTATTTCAACATCTTCCGCCATTCTAATAACAAAACCTGCATTCCATGCATGTTTTGATAAATTTCGCAATATGAAGGAAACTACAATAAATAGGTATAGGAATATTTATAGATAATTTGTAGAGAATTAAATTGCCTTTCTGATAGGCGACAAAAATATGGGGCGTTCTATTTAAATTTTTTTACTTTCTCGCCATTGAATATGGAGAAACAATAATTCAATTTTTGACGAAATCGATTTTGACACTCTATTTGATAGCATGAGTACTTGTGCCAATTTAGAGCTTTTTTGAATGAACGTTGGCTGAGATATGGGGTTATAAGGGCATGGTGAAATTTGCCAAAAAGTTTAAAACCAAAATGACTAGAAAACTAAAAACGCTAGGTACCAATAACTTTTATCAAAGTCAACATACTTTTTTACGTACAATTAAAAGGTGCAATACAAACTATAGCATTTAAAATAACGAAGTTATGATCTACTACCCGTAGATCGGAAGTGGCGGCCATCTTGAAAATATTTTAGATCGAAAGATTCGAATGAACAACCCATGACCCATACGAAAATTTCAAACCTCTACGAATAGCGGAACCTGAAAAAGTTCTAGCGAAACAATTACGTGAAACACTGTATATTCTGCGCCACTCTTCATTTTCAAACACTTCCCTGTATATAGGACGTAGTATTTTTCTCTTAAAGATGCCAGTAGTCTTTCATCGTTCTGTGATAGAATTGCTGGTATTAGAGTCTTGTACAGTTGGCACTTTGTAGCTCTTAAGAGGTCGTCCAATTTTAAGTGTCTAATCAACCATTGGTATCAATCTCGAAGAGCACAACTGAAACCAAATACACGAACTGTTGCACACGTTCACAGCTGTTATCGTAGCGTCGCTAGTGTTAGGTTTTGTAGTTATCGTATATCTAATCTCAGTGTAATGCGTACGTATATTTTGTTTTTTCTTGATTGACCATTAATCCACTTTTTGTAGCTGCTCTTTTTACGAGGTAAAAGGCTTCTATCATATCCTTTTCTAACAATTATATCGACGTCATTCACGAAGATCACGATCTGGATTCTTTTATTGACTATAATCTCTTGTGTTAACACCTGTATCTCTTATGATTCTCTCGAGTACGTTGTTGAACAGGATACATGATCTGCAAGCACTTATTTATTTCTAAGGTTACATTGTTTCTCTGATTAATGAAATATGGTAGGTGGGTATCTTGAGATCTGCCATTGCTCTGATTAGATATGTCTTAGAAATACTATCATAGGCGCTTTCAAAGTCTACAAATAAATAGTGCGTTTCTCTGTAGTTTCCTGTTCCTACCTAAGAACGAATATTTGGTCATTAGTTGATTTTTGGTTGCAGAAACCGCACTTACAGTTGCCTATTCCGCGTATGGTTTTATATACAGGTTTCCCAGAAGTCCCGGGACGGAGCTATAAGTTTTGAACGAGTGAAGAAAAAAACTTGAAAATTTGGGGATCACTAAAGAGTCATAAAAGCTACATTCTTAGATAGTTTAGAACATCCATGCAATGTGGAGTTTTTTTAGGGGATGGCCACCCCTACATTTTTAAATAACAACCCCTGTCGAGTTTTACCTTATTTTAAAGGTAATGAAAAAAGAAACACAACCCCATAAACCAAAACCCGATATCTTAATTCTTTCAAGAATTATGAGGGGTTGATTACCAAATGGGAAAATGGGAATTGAACGAAGGTGACTTTGAAAGAAGGTTGGAATTCTGTGAAATAGTAGGTGACAAATATGATGTTGACAGAAATTTTCTTTTGATCGTTGTTTTCTCTGATGGAGCTACTTTCTACTTGAATGGTAAGGTTAGTAGGCACAATTGTTGTTATTGCAGTGACGAAAATGCACGTTTAATAAGAGAAGGTCATACTCAGAGACCGCAGAAAATTATTGTATGGGCTGGTATTATGAGAGAGAATGTAATTGGTCCATTTTTTATTAATGGAAATTTGAACGGAGACAGATATCTGCAACTGTTAGAAAATCAAGTGGTTCCAAGTGAACGAGCCGTATGCCCTAATGGTATTGACAATAAGTGGTTCCAATAAGATGGTGTTCTTCCACATTTTAGTCGCGCAGTCCAAGACTTTTTAAGCCGTATGTTTCCAATCCGTTGGATTGGTAGTAGAGGTGAAATTGGGTGGCCACTACGATCTCCTGATTTAACACCACTCGATTTTTTCTTTTGGGGTTTTCTGAAAAGTAGAGTGTATGCAACAAAACCAGAATCAATAAATGATTTGAAAAATCGCATACTTGACGAACCACTAATATCACTAGGGATATTCTCCTGATGGTTCAACATTCCATCTATGAGCGTTTGGGTCATTGCGAGACCGACGAAGATCGACAATTTGAACATTTGTTATAAAAATCGTAATAAACGTACAAAAAAACATGAAAACATTTTATTTTCCCATTTGGTAGTCAACCCCTCATAATTCTTGAAAGAATTAAGATATCGGGTTGTAGTTTATGGGGTTGTGTTTCTTTTTTCATTACCTTTAAAATAAGGTAAAACTCGACAGGGGTTGCTATTTAAAAATGTAGGGGTGGTCATCCCCTAAAAAAAAAAAACTCCACATTGCATGGATGTTATAAACTATCTAAGAAGATAGTTACTTTTATGACTCTTTAGTGATCCCCAAATGTTTAAGTTTTTTTTCTTCACTCGTTCAAAACTTATAGCTCCGTCCCGGGACTTCTGGGAACCCCTGTATAACATTGGATAGTGCTGTAATTAACACATTAGAGATGTTCGCCCTTTTTATCGGTACTATAATTCCTAGATTCCATGCTTGGGAACTCCTCTTCTGTTTTCTGGTCCTGCGTTGTTCCATTTGCCTATAACCTTACTTTTCAGTTATGCTTACATACTCTCTTCAAACCATTCTATTCCGGCTTTCTTTGGTTCTTCTCTCCCCAGAGACTCTAAATGATTTCCATTCCTCGTCGTTGCTGCTTCCTTCGTATTCAGCTTGAAGCTTCCTTGTTATACAGTGGAACCTCGTATAACGAGTATAATTCGTTCCAGAATCTTACTCGTAATGCGAAATACTCGTTAAGCGAAACAATGTTTCCTATACATATAAATTAATGTAAACCCTGATAACGCGTTCCATTGCAAATAGATTTCAACATCTTTTATAATATAACGTTTATTTAAAGAAATATCTATCTACTTATACATAAATTGTTAACGAACGAAATCATCTTTATCTTTTCTTCTGTACCATATCGAAAAAACCTAGAATGTGATTCAATCATGTAGTTTATTATTTATAAATTTATGACACATTTCGCCGGCGCTTCAAAATTTGTTCAAAATGTGACACCGCATTGTCGTAAAATAAATTTGCAGCTCGCACAGCCACAACCTCATTAGGGTGATGTTTTTCAACGAATGACACAACATTTTCCCATGCTTTTAGCATCTCTTTGATTGCATCAGATGCTGGTTCCTTTAGTGCTTTCTTGTCTGAAACACTTTCCTCCACAACTTCTTGCTGTGGTAGACGGAGCAATTCTGTAAGTTCTTCGGTGCTCAACTTTTGATTATGCTCTTCCACAAGTCCATGAATATCATTGCTATTTACCTGCAGTCCAATGGTATTGGCTAAAGATACAATCTCGTTGACTAGAGGCGCTACATCTAGTGTGCCAACCTTCTCACAAGGACATTCAACAATACTAATGAGGATCCTTTTAGTGACCCCTTCCCACGCGTTATCAATCATTTTGAGGCAGGCAACGATATGGAAGTGATATTTCCAGAATTCTTTGAGAGTGAGGTTTGTCTCTTCAGTGACCTCAAAACAACGTTCGAAGAGTATTTTAGTGTAAAGTTTTTTGAAATTGGAAATAACTTGCTGGTCCATATGCTGAAGTAACGGAGTGGTATTAGGAGGCGGAAAAAGGATTTTGATGAAATTAAATTCTTCATGGAACTCGTTTTGTAGGCCTGGAGGATGAGCAGGTGCGTTGCCTATTACAAGTAAGGCTTGAAGTGGCAAATTCATCTCTAACAAATATTTCTTCACAGAAAGGCCAAACACTTTATTGATCCAGTCAGTGAAAATATCGCGTGTCACCCACGTCTTGTTATTGGCTCTCTACATCACATTTAACTTGCTCTTTTGGATTTTATATTATTCGAAGGCTCGTGCAGTTTCTGCGTGGTTAACAACTAGCGGTTTAATTTTTAAATCACTGCTTGCATTAACACAAAATAGCAGCGTGAGCCGGTCTTTCATTGGCTTGTGGCCGGGCAATGCACTTTCTTCTACTGTTATGTACGTTCGCTTTGGCATCTTTTTCCAGAAGAGACCCGTCTCATCGCAATTAAATACTTGTTGTGATAGATAGCCTTTAGTATCTACAAGCTTTTTGAAGTCTTCATGGCTGCCAATGGAAAAAATAAATAACATCTGCCATTCTTTGCATGATTTTGATTAATTCCGCTCTATCTCAACAACTGCAACAGAGAGGTATAGGGACATGTATTGAGGATTTGTAGAGAATTAAATTCTGTATCTAATTAACTAGTCAAATATGCGGTGTTCCATTTAAAATTTTCAACTTTTTTGCAATTGAATATGGTAAAACAGTAGTTACATTTTTGAACACTTTGTATAAGATAGTTCGTTGTAGCCAATTGCACTCTATTTAAGGATATCCAAGCAGCAACTGTCACAAATTTTAACTTTCTAGCTCGATCAGTCGCCAAAAAATTCAGATTTGAAGGACACAGTGTTAATTGTTAAAAAAGCTTCCAATATCAAAGTCAACTTAGTTTTGTGTGTAGAATCAGAATACGCAATAAAAACTATATCATTCCATTTAAAATAACATATGTTTATTTCAGTACGTCGTTATGGAACAGCCTGTATATATAAAAATATTTTCCGTTTATAGTGTGCTAAATTTCCTACAACTTTTGTCTAAGGAAGAACTGCGTATCTCGGCTCGTTAATGTCATTTATGCACTTTGTTGCTTACGTGGGACACCTGTAGACTATATTCTCAGAATTGAGACTCTTTTCCAATGTTATTATTAAGATCATCTAATATAATCTTGCTGTCGTTCCCCGAACATCTTCGCTAAGTTAACCTTCGAGCGGGCGCGCTGTCATAAAATGTATGACAATTTCCGTTTTTATAATATATTTCTTTATATTATGCATTTGAAAGCATTTAACTTAGTATTGCACTAGCACTATCACTTGAACTAACACAAGACCTAGAACTAAAATCATTCGGGTTTAGCCGTCTTTAGAGACGTGTGGCTAAACCCGAATGTTTCTAGTTCGAGGTCTTGTGTTAGTTCTGGTGATAGTGGTAGGTAGCGCTAGTTAGCATAAAAAATCAGTATGTTGCATATTTTTATTGAACTAAAACTAGAACTAACACTAGACCTAGAACTAGAAAGTTTCGGGTTTAGCCGTGCGTCTTCAGACGCACGGCTAAACCCAAATGTTTCTAGTTGTAGGTCTAGTGTTAGTTCTAGTTTTACACTAGCACTATCACCAGAACTAACACAAGACCTAGAACTAAAATCATTCGGGTTTAGCCGTTTTGAGAGACGTACGGCTAAATCCGCTTTGACGTGATGTCATAAAATTTATGACACGCGCCCGCTCGTGTTATAAAATCGGGCGCGCCCGCTCGAAGGTTAATGAGCAGTCAGTGAGACTAATTATGTCTTGGGATAAACCCAAAGTTCAGGATTTGTACAGACGATTTATATCTGTTCTACTTGCTTACAGTTATACATTCTCCATCGCTATTTATCTCTAATTTATGGTTACCACCAAAATATAACTGCTAAAATTCAAATTTTATTAAACACATTTATAATTTAAATATTTTGTTGTTAAATTAGGAAACGCAAAAATTAAAATGTCAAGTCAACCCGAAGGTGGTACAGTAAATGGAAACGATTTTGTCGAAAGACGCCGTGCTTCTCTTGAAAGATATCTTCGCCGAACTGCTCAACATCCAGTTCTCGTTCTCGATCCAGATTTTAGGGAATTTTTAGAATCCGGTTAGTACCATAACCTATACTAAGCGTTTATTAAATCTTAAATGAATTTAATAATTTTTATAGATGTTGAGCTTCCAAAAGCAACAAGCACCTCAGCTTTAAGTGGAGCTGGAGTTATGCGCCTTTTTAATAAAGTTGGTGAAACAGTGAATAAAATCACTTATAAAATGGATGAAACAGATCCAGTAAGATTTTTTGTTTTATTTATTAATTTTAACTAATTAATAAAAACTTTTTAGTGGTTTGAAGAAAAATTAGCGCACGTCGAAGCTTTTGAAACTCAACTCCGCAAACTTCATACAAGCATCGAATCAATGGTAACATATCGTAAAGAACTCGCAAATTTAACAAACGGCGTAGCTCGATCCGCCGCGATGTTATCAGCTTGCGAAGATCACAATTCTTTATCAAGGGCTTTATCTCAACTTGCTGATACTGAGGAGAAAGTTGAAGCTCTTCACGTCGAACAAGCCAATACGGATTTCTTTATTTTATGCGAACTTTTAAAGGATTATTTGGGCCTATTGGGTGCTGTTAGGGATGCGTTTCACGAACGAACAAAATTGTTCCAACATTGGGAACATTCGAAACAAATGTTAACTAAGAAACGCGAAGCTAAGGCTAAATATCAAATTAATAATAGAATGGATAAGATTGATCAAGCTGGACAGGAAGTTTTAGAGGTATATTCATTAAATGTAAATGTATTTTGATTTTGAAGTGTTAATTTTTAAGTGGGAGTCGAAAGTTGAGCGTGGTAAAGAAAATTTCGAACGAATATCAAAGATGATTAAGATTGAAATGGATCGATTTGAGAGGTGTCGTATTAATGAATTTAAAACTACGTTTATTAAGTATCTTGAGAATCATATGGATCATCAAGCTAAGGTATTTATTAATTTTTTTTTAAATTTTTGTGGGTGTAAATGATGTGTTTATAAATAGATGGTTAAATATTGGGAAACATTTTTACCCGAGGCTAAAGCGATTGCTTGACTAGACGAGATCTACCGGGAATAGCAACAACGACATTCCAATTGGAAGTTTCCTTTGCTGTGAGATTATTTTTACAGCTTGCCTCTTAATGTTTTATTTTAAACGAAAAAAAAATTGGTTAAAAATAAGAACAAAACATTTTCTATTCTTAAATAAGTGTATTAAGAAATTAATTAATTTTTTTATTCATTCTTTATGAATATTAAAATATATCTAGGTTTAAGATGAAAAAAAAACTATTAAATGAACATCAACATTTTTATTTATAACCATTTATTTAGGATGTATATAAGCTAATTAAATTACCTCCTTCCATTTAAAACGAAAACCGAAAGTACTAAAAATTCAAAAAAAAGTACAACAATCACGTAGAATTAAAATTAAAAAAATAATTTTAATCTAATTAATTTTTTTCTTTAATTTATGAGAATCGTAATTGAAAAATCACAAGTTAAAACATCTAACACCACATAAAAAACACCGAAATGGAATTTTTGTAATACGCCCTTACATACTTTTATACAAAAAAAAAAGTTTGTTAGTAAAATAGACAAATAAGGACGTAATAACGATATAAACAGTTTTAAAGTATAGGTAATATCGTACTAAATATGAAATAAAAGTTATATTTGTGTATAGAACAAAGTGATAAAGGCCAAATGTAAAAAAAATTAAAACGCGATTTATTTAAAAAAAAAATCACCTTTATATTTTGGAGAAAATAACAAACACGTTTAGTATAAATTATTATGATAAATCCTATTAATTCTTTAGTGTAACAGAATACTTTTTATGCTTAAGAATGTAAGGTGTTCAAGTGATTGTCTCTTATTCAGTATAAAATCGGTGCAATTGTGTGTGTTTTTAGAGGTACGCTTTAAAGAGTAAATGTTGCTCAATTATTTTTGTTATAATACTGTTATGCTTATTATTATATTTTTGCGTGTACACTTTATAAATAAATAATTGTATTCCATTACAAACGATTTTTATTTTTACCCAAAATTGCTATATTTTGTCACTACGATAATTTCAACACAGAAATGAATTAGAAATACTTAACACTTTACCGACCGCTAGCCTATTAATCGGCTTTTTGTTGCCGACGCTTACCGACCGATCGCCTATTAATAGGCGTTTTGTTGCCGATGCTTACCGACCGATCGGCTTTTATATCGCGCGTACCTAAAACCAGCCGAACGCTCGGTTCCCACGGCGATAAACAATTGTTACTTGTTTAACTTGTTTTATTGAGATACATTGCTCACTTGCGTTAAGTACGTTGCTTCGTAACTCAGATTTTCTCACCGTTTTTAAAAAAATTAACAGATTGTCCTCACAGTTATTCAGGAAGTGATAGTGGTGACGAAAGTGATGGCAGCGATATAATAATTCGAAAGCGGGGTTCTGTATTGCCACTAAGATGTAGTGATTCAGAAGACGACGAGATAAGTAACAACGAAGACGATACAAATAACATTGAAGATGACGATGATATATGGTTAACAGAAGATGAAGCAGTAATTTTGGAACCTTTTGAAGGCAGCCCTGGCATAAAAATTATCCCTAGTTCTACAGAAAATGTGATGGATAGCGTCAATTTATTTATTAGAATGGACTTTTTCGAGCATTTAGTGAAGGAATCCAACAGATATCATTATCAGATGATACAAAAGTATAAAATTCCACCAAGAGCGAAAAAGTGGACAGATATAACGGTAACGGAAATGAAAAAATTTTTAGGACTAATAGTTCTAATGGGTCAGGTAAAAAAAGACGTGTTCTACGACTATTGGTCAACAGATCCAAGTATAGAAACTCCATTCTTTTCGCAAGTCATGAGCAGAAACAGATTTGTGCAAATAATGCAGAGCTGGCATTTTTGCAATAACGACAACATCCCTCACAATGCACATAGGCTTGCTAAAATCCAGCCTGTCATTGATTATTTGCAGCAAAAATTTAACGATGTATATAGGGTGATTTATAACATACG